TCTGCAGCATCTCTTGTGCATTTCTCCTCTGTAGTATCTCTTGTCCACATCACCTCTGCAGCACCTCTTGTCTATTTCACCTATAAAGCATCTATGGTGGTTTCACCTCTGCATCATCTCCACAATACTCCCCCTTCTCTGACCCTGCCCCCATCCTGGTGCAGGCCTCATCCCCTCACCCCTGGATAATTGCAGTAGTTACTGGGGGGGTCTGCTTGCCTCAAGTCTCTCCCCACCCCAGCCCATCCTCCAAAATGCTCTGTTGGGCATTCAGAGTCCTTCATAACCTGTCCCTCCTCCCCCTCCAATCTTCTCACATGTGACTTCCTGACAACTACTCTTCAATCCAATGACACTGGCATCCTGACTGTTCACAAATAAAATCTTCCATCTCTGGGTTGTCTGGCCATTCTCTCTGCCCCCTATTCCTGGACCATTCTCTCTCTACTCCAACTACTGACCTCCCTGACTTCCATTAAGTCCCAACCAGAATCCCCCCTTCTACAGGAAGCCTTCTTCAGCCCCTCTTCATTCCAGTCTCTTCCCCCTGGTAGTGTTTTCTTATTTAGCCTGTGCAGAGCTTGTTTGTATATATTTGTTTGCCCAGCTTATTAGATTGTGAGCTTCTTGGGAGCCGGGACTGTCTTTTACCTTTTTTTTTTTGTATCCTCAGTGTTTAGCACTGTGCCAAGCACATAGCAGGCATTTAATAAATGTTTATTGAATTGAATTATGACTCTGCACCAGCTGTGTGACCTTGGACAGGTCATTTCATCCTTGATTCCCCCATTTCCACCTGTGTATAGACAGGAACTCACATTCCTTTATCACCTGAAGGTTTGCAAAGCAGTTTCCAGATTAATGTCAACTCCTTGAGAGCTTTTTGTCTTTGTAACCCCCCCTTCCCCACCCCCGGTGACTTGCACACAGTAGGTACTTAATAAATGTTTATTGCTGTGAAGTAGAAAGCACTTAGCATTATTCTCCTCATTTTATAGGTGAGTAGTCCAAGGCTCAGTGATGGGAAGCAGCGTGGGCAAGGATCACCCAGGACCGTAGCCACTGCCCTGCACACTGGAGGCCCTGCTGCTGTCACCCAGGGCTATGGCTGAGGTCTAGGGGAGAGGCGGGACCCTGGGCCAGCCATTCTCCCTCACCCCAGACACCTCTCGGGGACCTCAGGCCACTGCTGAAAGAAGGTGGGGCTGGAGAGACCCTGGGGAGGAGAAGCCAGTCCCCTTCCTCCTGCCCTCGTGTCCCTCTGGTGGCTCTGTTCCCGTGATGACTACACAAGGCAGCTCCCACCCGTGAGCAGTCTGTGCTGACCTGCACTCTGCTGCCCAGCCTCCCTCGCCAGCTTCCCAGGGGGCCCTGAGGAGCACAGGGATTGAGAATCAGGGAGCTGATCGCCACTGATGTGGACAGTGGCTGGCATCGGCCCTTTCAGCTGAGAAGGTCAGCGTCCCCTCCTGTCTCCTGTTTGGTTTGCTGGCAGGTGCTTCTCTGGCGGTATTTACTATGGAGGAAGGAGAGGAGGGCTTGGTCAGAGGAGCCACCAACGAAAAAGCCGATGTGGACGCACAGGATGGTAAGGCCGTGCTGGCACTGGTGACCTTCACATTTACGTGGCCCCCACCCCTGCGCCTGGGTAGAAGGTTGGCCAGGACCGAGTTCGCCTGAGGTCACATGTTGGGGGTAAGGAGCAGAGCCAGAGCCCGGGGCTGGGAGGAGGGGGCTGGGCAGGCTCCCAAGGGGCCATTGGCCCACGGTGGGGCGTCACCCTGTGGGCCAGCCGAGTGGGTGGCACACTGGCTCAGGGGGCCTAGGGCTGGAAGGCACCGAGTGGTCAAGGAGCCAGGTAGTTTCTGAGAGTGAAAGAGGAGGTGACCTCGTCCAGCCCTCATCTCTGCCCACAGCAGTCTCGCACCACGAGCTGACCCTGGGCCCCAGGCTTGGCCCTGCCTCGACACCCACATCCACTCGGTTCCTGCGTCACTCCCCAGCCTCTCTCGTGCCTACTGCCTTGTCTTCTCTCATGTGGCCTGGAACCCAGGCCTGAGCACACTCCCCTCCCCAGCTCAGTAACCTTCGGTGGCTCCAGGCCTCCCGCTCCTCTGCTCTGGACCCGGCTGGTGCCAGCCTTGTACCGTTCTCCTGCCACGTCTGCCTTAGAGGGCTCAGCTTAGGTGACGCCTCCCACGTCGGGGGCTCCTGGCCTTCAAGGTAGAGGAACCCAGCTCCCTTGAGACGGAGTCGGGGCCTCTCAGTACAGGGCCAGGCCACCACAGGCGCTTTCTAAACGCTTGGTGGCTGACTGATCAGGGAGCAAAGTAAATGGCATGTCCATCCCCGCTCCCCTAGGCCAACTGGCTTCTCTCTTCCAGACTTTCCTCTTTTGACGGACGAGAAATTTGACTTTGACCTCTCACTGTCTTCATCCAGGTAAGCTGATGTGCATTGACTTCTCTTCCCTGCCCACTGCCCCCATCACTGCATCCCCCTTGCCCCCCACCCCTCCTGCCCCCTGTCCCCCCATTCCTGTCCTCCCTCCCGCCCCAGGAGGGCTCCGGCAGGGGGTCGGCGCCACCCTCCTGACTTCTCCTCACACCACCAGTGCCAATGAGGACGACGAGGTCTTCTTTGGGCTGGTCGGGCACCGGGAGCAGTGCGTGGCTGCCAGCCTGGAGCCGCAGGGCCTGGTGCCCAGCGAGACCGAGCCGCTCACGTGGAGCCCCGTGGCTGGGGAGAAGTTTGTGGAGATTTTCAAGGAGGCGCGCTTGCTGGCCCTGCAGATTGCGAGCAGCGCCAACAAGGCAGCGCCCAGAGCCCGAGAGCCCGAGCCAGTGCCGGCCCCGGGGTCAGGGGAGGAGTTTGTGCAGGAGGCCAGGCTGAAGCTGGACATCTTTGAGCGAGGACTGCAGGTGCAGAGAAGCTCCCCGGCTCTCAAAAGGGAGACCTACTGTGTGCCGACCCCGGAGGGGGCCCTAGTGCAGGCATCGCTCACCTTTGCCGACTCCCCAGGGGCCCCACAGCCCGCTTCTGGTACCCATCTTCAGAGCCAGGGGGCGGCCGAGAGAAAAGCCGCAAGCCGACTGCAGCCCCCCAAGTCTTTGTCTGTGCCTGGAAAAGGGGCTCCCGCCAAGGTAGCCCCGCCCTCCCGATGCCCCTGCCACGTCCCCTTTGGAAAGTTGGGGGGCAGCCTGTCCATGGAGGGAGGGTTCCCTGGGGCCTGGGCAGAGAGGTGGGGAGGGCAGGTGGGAAAGCCGGTGCCCGCCCCAGTTCCCACCCCAGCTCTCCCTCCCCATCATGGGGCTGCCCTCCCCCAGGACAGATCACAGCCCATCCTCTCCCCCTCCTTCTGGGAGATGAGACCCGATGGGTGGTCCTCCTCCCTCGGGTGGCACCTGCTGTGTCTTGGCCCTCAGTGCTGGTTGGGCAGACTTTTCCCTAGAAATGGGATGGTTCTCATGAGTTTCATCGTTGGCGTTTCAGCTTCAATCAGGGAAACAAACCCATCCTTCAAGGCTCCCCCCTGCGAGCTCCAGAGTGTCCTCAGGGGCCGTGCCCTTGGACCAGTCCAGCGGCGCTTCAGAGGCGAGCACATCCTCCGGCAGCGGCACCAAAGGCCCCCCTGGCCTCCCTGCCCCCAGCAAGGTGCCTGAGCCCCAAGGGGTGGGGGCGGCAGAGCTCCTCCCCTGAGTGGTCACCCCAAGTGTGTCTCGTTTCCCACAAAGTGAGAACGGGGATGCCCGAGTGGAGTTATGAATGGCCGTGGTTAGGGCCTCGTGCCAGCCGTGAGCCCCTGGCAGAAGCAGGTCTTGGGGAGGGTGATTGTGGACAGTCTGCTCGTGCTGAACTCAGCACCTTGTTTCAGTTTGGGGCGAGGAAAACGCTGCTGAAACCTCCAGGGCGTGCCAGGACCCTCCTCACAGGAAAGAGCGCCTCTTTCTCAGGCCCCGTGTGCAGCATGAACCCGACCCCAGTGAGAGGCAGTGGTAAGGTCCTGCCGTGCCCCAGCGAGCCTGGGGAAGGGCAGTCAGTGCTGGGGTGGTGGGGAGCCCTGCACGGAACGGGGGGACAGGACAATGTCCAGATGCACATTGAGGTGGAGCTGGGAGTGCTGGGCCCCAGGCAGGGGTAACCGGGGCAAGGGGGTGCCCCTGGCACCACAGCATCTTGGCCCTGGGTCGGTCGGGGGCTCTTCCAGGTAGCCATGCCAGGGCAGAACGGGCCGGCGTCTGGCACATTGAGGGTGGTGGCTTCCCCAGGGAGGGGCTGTCTCTTCCCTGTGCCCATCGCTGCTCCCTGCTGCCAGCTGCATCTCTGGTGGCTGGGGCGTCCTGGTTGTGGGTGGTAGGGGGGCGGGCTGTGGGCCCACATCTCGGCAGCCCTGACCTTGCTGGGCCCCCCCAGGGCATCATGGAGAGCAGAAACATGAGCAGGCATCAGGCCCTCCCTGGTCAGAGGAAATGGGGCCTCGGGCCAGCCTCCCTCATTCACGGGACACCCGCCGTGCAGATGAACACAGGAACAGGCAGGCAGACAGATGCAGACAGACGCAGGCAGAGACAGACAGAGGCAGCAGACAGATGCAGACATAGGCAGACAGATATAGGCAGGCACGGGCAGAGACAGACAGACAGACACACACAGACAGACAGCAGGCTGTGGCGCCTCTGTTCTGACAGGTCAGCCTGCTCTCGGGTGAGTCCGTCTTTGGCCCAGCAGCCAGGGGACAGCCTCAGAAGCAGGATGACCTGGGTCCAAGCCCACCCTGGGTTCAAGTCCTGCCTCGGTCACGTGCCAGCTGAGCTTGAACACGCGTCCCTGGACGCCAGGTCGGGGAGGTACGGACTGGTGCTGCTGCCTGCACGTGTGGAGGGACGTCCCTCCCCAGGACTCCCCCTCGCTGCTGCAGTCCCAGACGAGCCCAAAGCATGCCATGATCCCTCTGACAGACAGATGGGATTCACCTGTCCAAGGACCATCCCCAGCCGCCTGCCCACTGTCGGTCCCCAGGCCTGCTCCTGCTGGCTCAGCGGCCCACGAGCTCCATCTGGTGGCAAGGGGCAGTCACTGCAGGCCCAGGTCCCCAAGGGGCCTCCCTCTGGCTGTGGGTCCAGTGCCCTGTCCACACTCTCCCCGCAGCTGAACACCACCTGAGGCCCCTCTGCAGCGGGCGGGCCCAGACCCCAGGGCTCAGCAAGGCCAGCCGGCCCCTCGGGGCAGACTTTAGAGGCCAGAAAGTTCTTGGAGGCTGGACTTCTCTCTAGTGATGTCCGCCAGCAAGGTTCCTGGATGACTGTCCTCCCCAGAGCAGCTGTGTGTAGGCCCTGGGCGTGTGTGTGTGTGTGCATGTGTGTGTGTGTGAGGGGCCTGGGAGCACCTGCCTCTAGTGTCTTCTCTAGGGGGCACTGTGTCCCCAGGCCCTCTCTGAGCCCCAGGCCCCTCCTCACCAGGCATGGGTGGGCTAGGCGGGGGAGCAGCCAGAGCTTGGGTGTGTCCTGGAGGTGGGCTGGGGGGGGGGGGCCTTCTCACTGGGCTCCCTGCTGTTCCGTTTTTAGCTAAACCAGGTGACCCTTTCCTCCGTCTGGCTGACGCTCCTCGGCCCAAACCGAGTGACCAACTGAGCCACAGAAACATCTCCTACTCGAAGCAAACCAGAGTGGCCCCGGCCGCACCCTTTGCCGGCCGAGCCAAGGAGGCTGCCTCAGTTTCCCTGAGGCAGCCACAGACCCCCAAAAGTGGAACCCAGAGGCCAAGTTCCACCCCCAGCTTATCCCAGCCCTCTCAGCTGACAAAGCCCAGGGGGCCCGGGGGTCCCAGCTCCGGAGCCAAGGCAGGGCCACCCACCAATCCGCTTCGACATCCTGCTTTCTCTGTAGGTAAGGTCTGTCCAGGGAGCCCTCGTATTCTCCTTGGCACTGATTCAGGGGGTGGGCAGTCCCCGTCCCCCCCGCAAGAAAACTCAGCCTAGATCTGGCCAGCCCTGAGGAAGTGGGAATTACGCTTCCCACAGGCCCAGCATCGCAAGCCTGCGACCGGGGCCCGCCTCTGCTGTGGTGGGGTGCCAGGAGCCTCCCTGGCAAGGGAAGAGAGGTGGAGCTTGGGAACGGGGCGGGGGGGCTGGAATTGGCCCAGATGGAGATGGGGGACGAGTTGCTGGGGCCTGCCCCCTGCCGTGCGGGGCCAGGGGCAGGGGGCTAATGTCCTCTTGTGCCCTAGGCGCCTCACCGGGCAGCGGGACTCCTCAAGTCCAGGGTGTGAGCCAGCAGCCGTCAGGCCCCTCGTCTGGAAGGTGAGGGGCAGTCACTTGGGCAACCCTGGGCCTGGCCTTCCTCAGGCCCTCCCTGATGCAGGGGAGGCATCTGGGTCTGGGGGGCTGTGGGATGCAGGGTGTGGACGTGTCCAAGGCACGCAGCCAGTCTGGGTCCAAGGCAGGGCTTGAACCCAGGCCTTCTGCCGCTCAGCCCCTCGCTGCTGTGGCCTCTACGTTCCGTTTGTTGGTATGAGCGCTGTAGGAGCATCTTGCCGGGTGCATGCAGTAGGTGCTCCATAAGTGCTGGCCAAGTTAGGTTGATGGCCTCGAGAGGCACTGGGGGCCCTCTGGGCGTCCGCCTCCCCTCCCCCTCTCTAGTGGCGGTCTGGAGGTCTGTAGTAATCTGGCCTGAGGATGGGGATTAACACACCAGGGGGCCTGCTGTGGGGGGACCCTAGACTTAGCTACAGCCTGTAGGCCGCAGCCCAGGCCCCCTGACCGCCTGGGCCTCCAGGGCAACTTTCTGGCAGAATGCCCCTTGCTGGGCCAACCTCGGCCTGAGAAGTGGGCCTTCCTTTGTTCCAGTGCTGCCCTGCGTGGCACCCCTACACGGTGCTCCTCAGGGGGAGTTCCACAGCCCCCCGGCAGCAGTACCTGCACCCCGCTGAGTGTCCGGCGCCTGTCAGCCCTGCCTACGCCGTCCAGCCGCCGAGCGTCAGCCCTTCCGTCGTGGCCGACACCCAGAACCGGCCTGAGAGCCACCTTCCCGCCTCAGCTGGTGGCTGCCCGGACCCCCTCGCAGGCACCCCCCAAGAAAGCCAAAGGCAGGTAAGATGAGAAGGGCCAGAGGAAGGCGCTGTGCTGGGCCCCCTCACTGAGCTGTCCCCAGCCCGGCCGTCTGCTCGAGGCCTCCGCTGACACCCACTCCTCTCCTCTCAGCTCTCTGAGGGGGCCGCCTCTGCCTCCAGTCCCCTTCCGTTCCTGAAGGGTGGCAGTTCCTGCAGGGTCTCTCTCCCCTGTAAGGATCTCTGCTGCTCTCTGCGAGGGAGAGAAATCGGTCCTCGCCGCAGGGCGAGCGCTGCCCCATAGCTCCTCTGCCTGCAGCGTCCTGTGCAGCCTCCCCACCCGGGCTTCTGGCCCGTGAAGGCGCAGTCTCGCCGGCCTTCCGGGTTCAGAACCCCAATGCGGGCCTGGCCCCTGGGCGAGGCAGGACCAGCCCAGCCAGCCTCTGCCGGAATGCCTCCGGTGACCCGGAGCTCCTTCCCTCCCTCCCTCTCTCGGGCAGCCTGTCCTGGTCCCCAGCGTCAGGTCTCCGTGGCAATGGGCAGCCCTGAGGGTGGAAGCGCCTGTACTCAGGGTGGGCTGTTTCCTTTCCTAGGCCCGAGCAAGCCCAGGAGACAGGCAGGCCAGGGGCTCCTTGCCCGTCTGACCCCCCTCTGGGGGTGCCTTTGGCCCTCGACTTTGCCTCTCCTGAGCAGACGGCCCCCAGGATCCCTGGGGAGGAGGCCAGGGAGCAGCGGGGGACAAAGCCGGCCCCCCCAGAGGTACCTGTTGTCATGGGAGGGGGTGGTTTGGCAGTGACCCTGGACTTCTGGTGCTCACGCTGGCCTTTGATCTATGTGAGGCCTCCCACGTGTGCTGAATCCATCTCCCAAATCGAGCGAACAGTCAAGGGGCAGAGGGTGTGGGTCAGGCTGGTTCTCCTCCACAGTAAGACCACAGATGTGCCCTGGGGGTCAGGACGATGCGGCCGGGAGCCCTGGGCTGCAGCTGCTGGTCCCTGCCCCCCTCACAAGGAAGCTGCTCTAGCGCCCGCCTGAGTGCCATGGGAGCCGGCCCGGACGCCCGTTCCCCGCTGCGTCCTTGGCCTCCACCTGAGGCTGCAGAGAGAGAGAGGATGGGGTTCCGGGCTCCGGAGCCGATGCCCTCAACAGGGCCAGACTGTCTTGTGAGCTGAGTGGACATTGGGACCCAGGTGACCGTTGCCCCCTCTCCTAGGCCGTGCTCATCCATATTGGCCCCGACACCCGCGCTGCTGTCCCAGCAATGCCAAAACCGCCTCTCCGTGGCCAGCCGCTCCTCGACTTCTCCAACAGCCCTGAAGTGGACCCGCGATGGCTCCCCCTGATGCCGGCGAAGGCGTTGGCCGGTGAAGGCCCGCTTCTCATCGACCTGTTTCCCTCTCCAGAAGAAGCCAAAAGCATCCCGTCCAAACCTCTGCCAGCCACGGGGCAGGTGAGGACGGGGCTGGGCCCGGCGGGGGGCATCTGGTCAGGTGGGGAGGGGCAACATTGCACGGCCCCATCTATCCTGTGAAGGTGGGCTCACCTCATCTGACCCCTCAGGCCCCATTGCCTGGTCATTGGTGTAGGGGGGTGGGGGGTGCCTCATGTCCCAGACCGTGAGCCCCCGGGGCCGGTCTGTGTCTTCATGAGCATCCCCAGGGTGGCGCTTCTGTCAGAGCTTCAGGAGACAAGGGCCTGGCACGCCTGGGGTTGCCCTTGAGGGAGGGTGAGGCCAGGAGTGGGCCCGCCCCGATGTCGTCCCCTCCCATGTTTTCTTTCAGCTGATAGACCTGAGCTCTCCTCTCCTCAGCCTGAGCCCTGTGGAGGACAAGAAAAACCTGAACTCTCCGCTCCTCAGGTTTTAGGTGGGCAGCCGCCGGCCCGAGAGCCCCAGCCCAGGGCCTGGGAGCGACTCCCAGCGAACAAAAAATGTGTAACTTACAGGGACAAATTAGGACGCTTTGAGGTTTTTTATGTCTCTTTTTATCAAGTTTGTTTAAAAAGTCCAACAGAGATTAAATAAAACTCGCTGATCTGTGGTTTTCCTGTCTTGACTGCCAAGTGGACGAGGCACCTGAACCCTAAAACCCCGGGCGCGGGAGGAAGGGCAGAGGCCGCGGGGCCCCGTGACGCGGCCAGCTCTGGAGCCAGGAAGAGCCTGGTGCACGTCCCTTCTCAGCTGTGGCCTTGCTGGGGGACCCTGCCCCCGTCCCCACCCTCTGAGCCCACGGCAGCTCCAGAGAAGGTCCTCACCTGCACTGGGAGGCAGGTGTCTGCCAGGGCAGAGGCCCGAATTCGAGCAGGCGAGGAAGGCATTCCCCGATGGGCTTGAGTGAAGCAACAGGAAAGGCCCGGCCCCAGGGAGCCCTGCCTGCATCCCGGCTTCGATCTGCCCAGGCCCCCTCCAGCTGCACCATCCTCGGCCCATCCCGCTTCTCTGGTCTGTGCCTGGCTTTCTTTTCTGGGGCTTTGCGGCTTCCCCGGGGCAGGCCCACACTGGACAGCCCCCTACCCCCTCCTGGCCCAGGCAGGGCAGGATGAAGCAGGAATGCTGTGGGGGTCCAGCCCACCCGATGCTGGAGCCTGCTCTCCACTTCTGAAACGATCTTTTTTCCATGAAAATTCTCATTTTTGAGCAAACATGTTTTGTTTCCTTTGCACCTCCCAGCCTCCGGGAAAAAGAAAAACCACTTTCCCTCTGACCGGTCTGGGCCCCCCCCCCCCCCCCCCCAGCCGGGGTCTCTCTTCTCATGGCCCTGGGCCCCTCAGGGCGTGGCTGTGGGCCATCCTCATGGTGGCTCTACCCTTCTCCGCCAGCTTTCTCCAGCTGACCGTCACTGACCCCCCGGGCCCACTCGGCAGCACAGACAGCACCCTTCCACACACGGCTCGCCCTCCGCTGGGCGCTCCCGTGGTCTGGTCAGACGTCTGGAGAGGTCGGAGACCACCCCGTGGGGAGAAGCAGACGGGCTCCAGGCCAAGTACAGAGCTGACTGAGGCTACCCTCTCCCCCACGACATCCATCGTCCACGTCACTGGAAGCCCAAGAGGGAGACCTGGGCGGGCACAGCCGGGATAACAGCTGGTGCCCTTCCCTTTCCATAGGGGACAGGAGGGGATTGAGAGGCAGGTCCTGTCCTTGGCCAAGGCCCCCCGCCCCCGCACCTGGTACCCTCTGGGTGGTGGGCCTCCTGAAGGCCTCCTCCACACTGGAAAAGAAGCAGGAGGGGAAGGAAGGTCTGTTGTCCAGACTCACCTGCAGTTGGAGGGGCCCAGACCAATGTCCTTACCCCCCTCCCCCACACCATGGTGACAGTCTTTGTGAGGTGGGGGCAGACCTGGCCTGCATCAGAGGCAGGAGTTTGCGGGGGTGGGGTGGGGGGGGGAGCCCAGGCCTTCTGAAGGACTCATCTTTGTTTTTATTTAACCCCTAGGTTTAATTCTGTGGCAGAAAAATCCTTCACATTCCTGTTGTCTCCCATCATGGTGCCTTTGCCCGGGCTGAACCCCATGCCTGCAGTACCCTCCCTCGTTCCCTACATTAGGGCCCCTCAAGATTACTTGTTATTAATTCTGCATCCTCTGGGCGTGTTCTGTCCCCCATGGAACATGGCCCATCTAGGCTCTTGTTTCTGCCTATCGCAGTGCCCGCGGGGCACACAGTTGGTGCTGGATAAATGCTTGTTGGACTGAATGCAGCCAGTGGACTCCGGCAGCAGGACGAGGGGAAATGCAGGCACTCCAGAGAGGCCCAAGCCCTCCACTCCGGCAGGCTGGCCTGCTCAGCTAGGACCCCAAGGGTCTTGGGGCTCTTGGCCCTTCAGAGATGCCTCCGTCCTCTCTGGGATCCCGCCCCCGGGCACGGGCTCCGCCTCAGGATGGTGGGAGGGGGAACAGGGTACTGAGCCCGCAGAAGAAGAGCCGGGGGCCAGAGATCTCCCCATATCCCAAGGCGGTGATTAGGCAGGGGGTCAGACTCCGCCTGGGAGAGCACATCTTGGGGGGGGAGGGATTCCAGCTCCTTTCTCTCTGCTGCCCCTGCAGCCTCTGGGGTCCCGGCTGCTCGTCCCTTCTCGGCCCCTCCCTCCAGTTCAGCGGGGTCTCAGGGGCCCTCCCCGCTTGGGACGGCTCGGATGCCCAGGGTGGGCTTCTGCCTCCGTGGGCCAGCGATCAAGCAGAGCTGGCGGCAGCCGCGGGCCCTGCACATGGACAGGACGGGCCACAGGCAGTGTCAGGCGGGATCTGAACCCAGGGCCTCGGCACCCACAGCCAGCCACGACCTCGGGCCCCGGCCCCTGGGGCCTCCAACCAATCAAGCCAGGAGGCATTTATTGAGCGCTTACAGTGTGGGGGGCGTGGGGTAGGAAAAGCTAAAGAAAGATACAGACGCAGTCCTGCTCCTCCTGCCTCCCTCCCTCCTTTCCTTCCCGGCCCGGCGGCGCCCCCTGGTGGACGGAGACAATGGCAGGTGGGAGAGTGGGAGGGATTAGGGAAGCGCAGAGAGGCCCCGCCCCCAGCGCAGCCCCCAGCCCTCCAGGCTCCGCCCCCAGCACCGCCCTCCAGGCCCCGCCCATGCTCAGCACTCAGTCCTCCAGGCCCCGCCTCCGCGTAGCCCTGGCTCCAGGCCCCGCCCCTCGTAACCCCCCTCCAGGCCCCGCCCATACTCAGCACTCCGTCCTCCAGGCCCCGCCTCCGCGTAGCCCCCTGGGTCCAGGCTGCGCTCCTGTTCAGCGTCCTCCAGACCCCGCCCCTCGTAGCGCTTAGTCCTCCAGGCCCCGCCCCCAGCGCAGCTCACGCTCAGCCTCTTCCTCTCCAGGCCCCGCCCCTCTCAGCCGGCAAAGGCGGCCCTTCCGTTCCAAAGACTTTGGGGCGGTACTTCCGGCGCGGCGGGCCGCATTTCCGGCCGGAGGCATGGCAGCGGCTGCCGGCGTAGGGGTCGCACGGCGGCGTGTGGCGTGCGCCGTGTCCGGGGGCGTGGACAGCGCCGTGGCCGCGCTCCTGCTGCGCCGCAGAGGTGAGCAAAGGCGCGGAGGTGGGACCGGCAGGGGGAAGGGCTGGGGCCCCCCAGCCCCAGGTCTCAGGCTCGTGGGTGTCATTCAGCAAGCATCTTTTAAGCACCTACTGTGTGCCAGGCCCTGTGCAGCGGGCCTGGGACAGCAACAGCCCCTCCCTCCAGCCTTGCCCCCTGCTGCCTTGGCCCCTGCGGACCTCCGTCTCTTTTTCTGTTGGGTGCTTAGGGTGCCCCAGAACTGGGGCTCTTCACACCTGCCTCTCTGAACCTCTGTCTTTTCTTCTGTTGAGGG